GTCTATCATATTCTTGGCTCCTACTTATGTTCATTTTTCTCATGTTCTTTTTTTTTAAGCCTGGAGAAACTTCCTAAAAGCCATTGTCCATTTTGAGCCTGACATTCAGTGTTGATAAATGTTTCCTTGTTTTTTTCCTTCTTCCCACATTGATATAAATGTGTATTGTTGCAAGTGCTAGTAACATTTTTGAAATGATATTTTATTACTTACAGGAAAATATCTGAACTATTAACTAGTTACTCAGGAACAATTCTGGATTGAGGCTTATATGATCCATTGGAAGGAAATCTAATCTCGTCTGCCCCACATAGTTTTTTAATATAGCTCTTTTTACACTCTAATTACTTAATTTTTATTGATTATATGGATAAATGTTACTATCAGAAAGAAGTGAGGCTTTTGTTTCTTACGGTTTATGCTTTTTGAGAGACTGGGAGGCTGTGCTGTACTGTACACACTAACCTCAATTGTTTTGCTGATACTATAGAATTAAAACAGGTTTTGGAATCCTCATAAAATAAGTGTTCTTCTTTCAAACATTAGGTACTAAAATGCTAGTTTATTGATCAACTGAGCAGCAAACAGGCATGCGAAGGCTAATGCCTCTGTGCTTTATAGATAGCAACTTTTGCTTATTGCCTGTATTTTGTTCTTTATAGCTATTAAGGATACATTTATTATAAGTTTCTGACCTTAATTCGGTCCTGATAATAAATGTTAATATCGTTTCATATACTTTTGAAGAATTGTTTTGGTATTTTTAGTTGCATTATTTTAACAATGTCACTTCTGATAGTTTAAGAACCAGTTTTGTATCTCCCAGCTTGGAGACTGATAACCCAAATACCATTGAGGTATTTATACTACACTCTGATTCTCTCAATGTGAGGATTACGAAGGTCAAGTTATGTCCCTCGCTTACTCCATTATTTGTATCAGAGATTATTAAATGCTATACATGAGCAGTTTGACTGGATTTTTGAATTGATAATCTCAGAACTATACTGTATGTTTTAATGAGAAATTGATTGTTCTTTACCATGGTCACATAATGCTATGATACAGCAGTGAGAAAAGATATCTAACTAACTCAATCAATAGGTTCTTTAAAATATTCCAATCTCAGTTTTGCATCAGAACAGTGAGAAAAGATATTGTGACATCTACAAATACCATTATCTTAGGAAATGAAAAATATGTTGTTATGTCATGGAAATTCTAGTACAGAAATTAGTTCCTATTAATTATTCTATATTTTCTAGAAAATCCAGCATTGGAATGAAGAGCAAGATGTCTCTAACGGTGATAAATACAATTAGAGGTTTTTGCTGCTTTTTATAACAGTTGCAGGGAAGTTTTATTGAAATCTCTCCCTTTTATAGCAAACTTATACCTTTAAACTTTGGTGTTTTATTGTTCATTTTGTAATTTCCAGATATTAAAGTTCTGAATATTTTATCTGACATGTTAATAGAAGGAATTTGATTTTTTTCTCTGGATCATTCATTGAAAGATCTTTTAAGAACCAGATGTCTCTCCTTGTAAGAGATATAAGCATTTGGTCAGTGCTAAATTACTTTCTTGAATTTAATTTCTCATTTGCCAGGATGACCAAACTCCTCCAGTTTATCAAAAAAAAAAAAAATCCATGTTTCTGTAGTTAGAAAGAATCTATGGTAAATAGATAGGATTTTCTATTTAATCACTCTAAAGATAGTATTAGGATAGTTTTAATAATAAAGGGAATAAAATCAGTAATATAATTTTAAAAGTTTCTATGTTAACATATTTCTATAAGTAAGATGTTTTGAGCTTAAAAGTTTGATGATTTCTGAGTAGTGTGGGTATGAAAAGTTACAAACCAATGCTGTGGTGCCGCTAAGTATCACAGTTGATAAATATTTGTGGAAACTTGATAGACAAAATGTAGAATATAAATCTCTCTCTTCAGGGGAATTATTCCTGTTCAGTGTTTTTCCTGAGATTAATAGCCATGCAGTAAGTATTTCCTGAGAATACACAAAATGTAGATAAATGAACATTCTGAACAATTATCATTTTAAGTTTATTCTGATTCATTGTTTGAATAAAATTTTGCTGTGTGAATAGAATAAAATCTCCATTTATATAGTTATAATACATATATATCTCTATATATCCATCCATCTATCTGTCTGTCTGTCTGACTACCTCAAAACTCCATTTCATTCTTTCTGGGAACTAGTAACATATCAAAACTTCAATATGCATTATAGGTTCTTGACTTTGTTAGTAGTGTTTATCTTTATATTGCTTTTCCATACAGTCATGCGTTTCTTGATGATAGTTTACATTGTGAAACTGCATGCTGAGTTGATGTCATCACGGTGTGGGCATCATAGAGTGCCCTTCCATAAACTAACAGTGCACATCAATTGCTTATAGTTAGGAGACACAATAAATGGGGTGTAAGTGACTGTCACCATCATAACATGCCATACCATTTATAGTTAACTTTTTAATAGATAGAGGATTGCACTCTGAGATAATGATAAAAAGCATAGTGTAATAGTCCACTAGTAATATTTATTATCCCTTCAAAATCATAGACTATCTGGAGTTGTATGTGTCACACATAGATTCAACTGAAAGCACATGGAGTTCATTTGCATCAGCATCTTGGCATATATGAGGCATGGTACTCTGATATCAGGACAGCTAGAATATCATTAGTTCCTGGGAAATCTTCATCTTTATGTCATAGTGCCAGTTTTGTATATGCAGTGTAATCAAAAATTCATTACACAATCATAACTGTAGTTTTTATTGTTCTAGCATGCTTCTTTTTAAAAAAATCTTGAGTTTGGTTTGTAGTAAAAACTGGGAGATTATGTCATTCTTTTCAAATAATGTTTGTGAGAGATTGCTTTTCTCCATATAGGTAGGTACATCAAGTGGTATTTGTAGAGGTATGAGCTTCAGAATTTCCTTTTTTTTAGGTAAACTTCATTACAACAGGTGATTGTATATGGTTCAGTTCACCTGTAAATTATATGTGAGTCATTTGACTAATACTCATATAATTTTGTGATTGTTTGGGAAGTTGTATAGGGAATATTAAATACTGTTCTCATTACTGAAGGAAAATTATTTTCTTCCTTGCTGATACATTGGATTAAGACTTAAATAAAATCATAGCATGCTTTAAGTACCTTCCTTGATTTGTTGGTGACAAAAAGTTCATTTTTTTTGCCTGTACTATTTATTAATTGGGTTTATTTCATAACAAATTTCAAAGAAATCTGTAGATTGAAATGCATTGTAAGCTTTAGATACAGCTGTGATGGTTCCTCATGAAGGTAAATATAAAAGAAACAGAAAATACATGCTTAATTTCTTGCTGACCTATATAGTAACTGCATCCTAATAGGTCATATCTCAGCTCCTAAGTTTTTGATAAATAGCTGAGCCTCACGGAGCTCTATCCGTGGTGCTGAAGCCTCTCATGATCTATGAGCATGTCTTACTGATGAATTCTAATGTCAGCTTCTGTGTGATAGCGATTCATCAGGTTGTAAATTTGTGCTTGGGAAACACATTGAATTAACAAGTTCCATATTTTCGTTTTGTTGAAATTAACACAGCTTGTCCTTTCATTTCAAAGAGTTCATAGCAATTACCTTCCACATTGTCAAAACCAGCTAGGATTTAATTAGAAACTGTCAATGCTAACACAAAGGAAATGTCTAATATCAACAAATAAATTGATATGGCTGCCATGCTGGGAATGCTTACAGGCTGGTGACGTGCTGATAATATGCACTCAGTTACTGCAAAATGCTAAATATTTGATTAAGAACAGCACAACAGTTATTAATATAGGAACTCCTAATTGGAGAGAAAAGCAATTTGCCTTTTAAAACTATGACTTATTATTTAAGATCAGTGTTTATATTTTAGAATATTTTCTTTGCCCAAAAATTCACTTGTTTTTGCAGGAACTGTTTTTATTTGTAAAATGACTAAAACTCTCAATCTCACTAATTTTCTGTTAATTTTTCAAGTAAAATTCTTTTACTTCATATAAAGGATATTAAAATAGTATTTTCATTTTGTAATCTGAAATCATTTTAACCTGTGTTTTTAGACACGTTATATATATAACTGGATTATACTTTATTGCTGTATTTTACCCTAAGTCACTTTCAGAAACTGTTCTCTGACTTTTTTTATTGCTATTTTACACCTGTAATCTCTGCCTTTGGGGTTTCTGGCAGGGGAATCATGAGTTCAGTGGCACCCTGTGCTACACAGCGAGTCTGAAGTTAGTTTGGTTTGCATAGTTAGATACTGTTTCTAAACGTAAACTGCATTTTATGTTAGTGAATACCGGAATCATTTGGATTATATTGTTTTGAAACTGGAATAGAGTTTCCAAAAGTTGAGCCCTGCAAAGTTTTGTTACCTACTTATATTGTATAGTGAAATCCTACAACCCTGCTCTTAAAATGGAACGTGTGATTTTCTTACTGTGTCTGGGGTGTAGGAGGTTATTAAATTATCTGTTACATCACTGAAGCTCGGTATTTAAAATCTCAAAGAGATATGAAAATACACGTAGATAAATAAGTCCTACTGAAATGGGGCAAACGTTTTTGCAAAGCAGCAGATTCCAGCTGATCCATTCATTATTGAAGTTAGGCCTTGACTTACTCCAGTATTGGATTTACATCATTTGAACCTAATAATTAAATGCTTTTCCAAAAGCTCCTTGTTTGAAAAAAAAAATCTTTAAATGAATTCATCATTTCCTGGAGGATTTATTTTAATTAATAATTCAAGTGTTAAGTATAATGTTATAACCTTTTAATATTGATAAAATGCTGTCTACACTCCATTTTGCATATCAGAAAAATGTAGATACGAAACCCAAGAAAAGTCTCATTCCTAACATTGCAAATGTGACTGTAGAAGACAGCATCAACAACACTGGCATTTAAATGACTTGTAATCAAATGATAGTTCCCAGAAATTATTCTTTATTTAGAAACAAAAACAAGACAAAAGCAATTGATTTGAATCCAAAATGTATTTTTCCTTATAAAAGAGGTCCACATACTCACTGTGTCTACTCTATAGAATTTGTCCTTTTCCTTACACCACGTGTCAATTCAAGTTTATCTGGTCACTGCAAAAACTCGTGGCTAACATGTGTAATACAACACAGGAGGAGGTATTGCTCAGTTCAACTACTCTTCTACACTTAAAAAAAATACAGAAATGTTTTTGTTCACATTAACTGTAGTCCTGACATAAAAGTTACATGAAAGTTCTAGAAAATGGAATTGTTTTATTTGGTTGCCACAGTACCCTTTGAAGCCAGTCAATTAAAATGCTGAACTTTCACGTTTCCATTGGCCGGGAGCAGCATTGGTGAAGCTGATTCTTCCTTCCAGAAAGTAACATTCCTCTGCCTGTTTTTGTTGTTGTTTGTTTTTCTGTGCCTTTTTTTCCCTTCAGCACTACTGCAGTCTTGAGCTTTTCTTTGAAGTAGGTTTGGTTGGTTGGTTTTAGGACACGTTTGTTGGCACCCCTATAATGGTCGTTTTTACTTCCAAGGGTGCACTTTTTTCTTTGCCTGATTCCCAGAGGTTGATCAGAGGGGGGTAAAGCTCACTCAGTGCCAAAGTCGGTTTGTGAAAGTAATTCCTCGGATAACTGTGTTGTTCACCCTCACAGTTCATTTCTTGTGAGATGCAGCTGAGAAGACACATGACGCCAATAATCCCCAAAAGCCCTCCAAGGCAGGCCATAAACGCTGTGTGACTCTTTCCATATTCTTTTCCATCACGGTCCAAACTTTTTGTGGTGACATTCACACATTGTTTTCTGCTTTTCTGGTAGATGGTGGGAATATCAATACAAATTCTATACTCAGTAGATGGTTTCAGATGAGTAAGATTGTATACCTTGACATCAGATGGTATTCGAGCACTTTGGGCAGCATGAGAATCTTCAGTCTTGACAAAGACTGTCCACTTAACACTGGATTTGAGAATTTTAGAGCTTGCTTTCCAAGATAACAGAATGGAATTGGCCTGAATATCTCTTATTTTAATATTCAGTGAACCATTATTATCCTGAGGAACAGAACCTCCCACTTTGATCATAATAGACTTCAAGTCAGCACCAACTAGGTTAGTTGCTATACAAGTGTATAACCCCCCTTCCTTTGGGGTTATGCCCCTTATGTCTAGTGTGCCTTCAGAATGAACATAGAACTTCTCTCTCAGAGTATTTGGCAATAGTTTTTTACCAGAAGGTGTGATCCAGTAGATTTCAGGCTGGGGTTCTGCAGTAGCTCTGCAGTGAAGGGACACATAGCTGTCAGCCTCTACATCCAAGCTAGAAGGAAAGCTCTCGGGAGCTATAAGAGGGAGACAAATTTCCATCATATCCCGGAAATGCACTTGCCGAACATTCTGGCCTTGGAATTCAGGTGGGTCCACACAGAACAGAGAATCCGGTTCCATAAATCGAATGTTGGTTTTGTTCATGTTAATCCAGCGGATGACACAGTCACACCGGATGGGATTGCTGTGTATGCTGATTTCCTTGAGGTTTGGCAAAGATTCCACGGTACCATGGTAGAGGGCACTGAGGGCGTTGCTGTTCAGCATGAGGGATTCTAGCTTGGGGAGTCTGAAAAATGCATTGGGGTGAATGTAAGACAATCTGGGGTTGTTAGTAGCTTCTATTTTTCTTAAATCTGGCAAGTTATCCACAGCTAGACTGTCAATGGAGACAAGTTCAGGCATGTTGTTTATCCCCAACTCCTTCAAATGTAGCATATTGCTAAAATCACCCCTTCGTATTCTGTTAATAGGATTTTTATTTAGATCCAAAAATTTGAGGTTTACAGCTTTTTGAAGAGCAACTTGGGGTACCTTAATAAGTCTGTTATCGTAAAAAGAGATGCTTTCCAAGTTTTCCAGCCCAACCAAGGCATTATCCGGTATGTCCGTGAGGTTTATGCCAGCTATAACCAGGCTGCGAAGATTGAGAAGTGGCTGGAAGTTCATGTCTTTGATTCTGATGATGGGGTTGTCCCCGATCATCAGAATCTCTAGATTGGGAAGAGCATCAAACCACTTACTGTTGATCATCTGCAGTCTGTTTGAATTGAGATGAAGTCGAAGAAGGTTATGTAAGCCAATAAAGGCTCCGGGTGAAATGGTCGAAAGCAAATTGTGGTTAATGTAGAGTTCTTGTAAATTGCCCAGCCCATAGAGACATTTTTCAGGCAGCTCAGTTAGTTTGTTTTCCTCTAAGTACACAGAAAGAAGCTGAGGCATCTTTTGTATGTTAATATTTGTGACTGAAGATAGATTGTTTTGAGATAAGTCCAGGCCAGTAAGGTTCACTGGAAAGTCTATGGAATGTTCGATTCTTGCAATGTTGTTAGTCTGTAGAAGCAGAATCTGTGTGTCCGCAGGCAATCTGGCTGGGAAGTTTAAAAGCCCTAAATCATTGCAGTCTACTGTAGATGCTTCCATATAGATAGATCTGGGTGTAAACCAAGGCCTGATTTCACATGTACATAATTGTGGGCAATCCACTTTTTTATCTACAGCTTGTACTAGAGTAGTGATAGCTAGGCCAAGCAGCACATGAATTTGGAGTGGCATGTCCTTCATCTTAGCTTTTGTCTCCAGAAATTTAATAGGCCCTTAAGGATTCCAGTCACCGCCAATAAGTTCAGCACAGGCTGACTGATGAGGGAGGTCCTTGCATTTGTCAAATGATGAATGCTGTAGAACTATAGGTGTTTTCTTCGTAGAAATAATTATGAGTGCCACAGATGTAGTTTCCAAAAATGGCATGCATAGTGGAGAAAAGATGGTTGCTGTCTCCTCAGTGATAGAGTACTGATGGACGCTTTGAAGATGATGTATGTATAGATGGTCATAGGATATGGAGCAATTCATTTATTTTGAAATCTGGAATTCAAATCCCATGCTGTCCAGTACTTGCAGTTGTAGAGGCATTATTCTAAATGCAATCAAAGGGAGAGAAAAAATTAGTTCAAGAGGGAATTCCATAATTAATGTTTGACTAACTATAATTATTTCACATATATAATATTATTAGAGTTTACAATTATTTCAGTACATTTTGAAGACTTTGTCCTTATTATTGGCCCCAACATGAGGTGAATTAAGAAATTTGATCTTCAGAAGACTAAAGTTTCATTAAGTATAATAGATATGCTTCCAGAATTTTTCACTTGTTTCAATTCTATGTTTATACCTCCAATTTTAGTAATATTTTGCTTTGTCTTTAAGAATTAACTAGAGGGAAAAAATAAAATAGCTTTCCAGGGCTGATGGGTTGTGTTGTGTGATGTATAGAGACAATACTGTTCTATTGTAATCAAATAGTGAGCCTGTGGTTCCTCCACCCCTCAGAGTTAGCACTTGGGAGCAACATTGTTCCTGATTGTCAATGAGCTCAGCAGTGATATTTAGCACTTTCTTTCCTACCTCTCTATAGAGTCTGCTTTGCATAAAGTGACTTGAGAGTTGCAGGATTTGGAAGCAATCTGATCTACCTCACTGTAGATATATTTGTATAAAATTAACTTCAGATTAAAATTTGATTGTTTATCATTGAGAATAATTTACACCCCATCAGCCACTAACATTAAAAAGCAACTGTTTTACATCAGTAAAGTGGGTATTCCTCCTTTAAATGAACACTGGTATTATTGTCACAGAAAAATAAGGAGTTCCAAAAGCAGGTTACAGTTTGACGTACAGTTTACTTAACAGGACACGATAGTTAGGTCTACAGTCCATCCTGGTGGATTGCTGGTGAGCCCGCTCCGCTCTCTTCATATATTTTAGATAGTCAGGCATGTCTAGACGCTTCATTCTGGGTTTGCTGCCTCCCAGTGTTGATGGTTACCGTGGAATAACTGGGTGAGGATAAGGTCGATGCTTCATTGACACACATAAACGTCCAAAGACGTGTTCTCTATGGAGACCTAGAAATACTCCTATTTTACATAAAGAAGTCCTTGTTTCAAAAACTATAAATCACTTACAGTTCAAATTCACAGATAATTTGTCTTTTCCCCTTAACACTCAGAGATGTGACTTTATCAAAATTGAATTGTGATTTTTCTACAGTTAACTACTAGCTTGCCGTGAGTCAAAGGCAGCGGACTTGTTTTCTTCACACTTGAAGCCCGTGTCCTCTGGGAAGCCTGTCTTTCTTTTTTTTTTTTTTTTTTTTTTTTGGTTTTTTTTTCGAGACAGGGTTTCTCTGTGTAGCTTTGCGCCTTTCCTGGAACTTGCTTTGGAGACCAGGCTGGCCTCGAACTCACAGAGATCCGCCTGCCTCTGCCTCCCAAGTGCTGGGATTAAAAGCGTGTGCCACCACCGCCCGGCTGAAGCCTGTCTTTCTTATAACTTGTCTGACTTGCCTCTCAGCATTTCATGGTTCCAGTCACACCTTCTCAAGAACATGCAATTTGCTTGGCTTTTTGTCTTCAGTTCCTGACCATAGTAATTGGAATGTAGCACATGCTCAAGAAAAATTTTGGATTCCAGTGAATGGATTCTATGAACAAATGTACATTTCCATCATTTTACATATCATTTAAGCAATCCAATTTGTTTATTTTTAAACTTCAATAAATTTAACTGCTCTTATCTGTATTCATTTTAATACTTGCACAAACTGTATATTAACTATATTTTTTATGTAAGATTGAAGTATTAATTTTGAGGATAACACAAAGGAATGTTAGACTTTAAAAGTCAATCTACTGCAGTGGTTCTCGACTTTCCCCAGTGTTGTGATCCTTTAATACAGTTCCTCATGTTGTGGGGACCCTCAACCATAAAATTGTTTCATTGCTACTCCATAACTGTAATATTGCTACTGTTATGGATCGTAATGTAGTATCTGATATATGACCCCAAGGGGTCATCACCCACAGGTTTATATACTGCATCTGTGTTCTATTCATTGATAATTTCGTGGCATTTATTGGTTAATAGCCAGTAGAGAAAAACATCACTTGACTCTTATAACTTCCTACAGTGAACTTTCAGTCAGGAGGCCAAAGCACGGGTAAACTATAGAGTACATGCAGGGGTGAGGCCAGGGATTTGGGAGTCTACAGGAACGGCAGCTGAACAGTATAGAAGTATAGAACTGAACAGTATAGAAGCCCAGAACCTTCTGTGTCCAAGACAAAGGAAAAGCCTAAATGGAGACTACAAAATACATTTCTGTGTCTTTTCATGAATCACTCAACTGAGAACGAAGGAGCCGTGACTTCTGACAGTTAATTGTTTGGATCTGATTCCTCCTGTGTGAAGGGGAGCCTGTATCCTGCAAGTTAACCGGAAGGTGAATTATTAAATGACGTAAGAATGTAACTTTTTGTTTTGAAATGATTTTAGTAGGTATTTTTGGACTTTTTTAAATTTATGTTTAATTGGAATTTTTTTTATTCTGTTCTGTCAGTTGCTTAGCTGTAATGTAGAGACAGCAGAGTTGAACTAGGTTTTTCCAGAAGACTTTTAAAAATAAGTGTTCCTATAGTGGTGCACAAACTCAAAATTTGTTTGAGCTGGTCTTTGGGAAGAGTCTGTCTGGTGGGAAGCACTATAGACTATAGATGTTTAACCTTTATTAGAATATTGACTTTTTCTTATGTCTGCAGAAATTACTGTGATGCTTATACTAGCAGCTTTTAGCATGGGTTATCCGCAGAGTCCTGAGGCAGAAGCAGTATCATCTTACTTCTTAGCGCTTCATGGCTTTCAGGTCTCTTTGCCATCGTCGATGTTAACAGTGGCTTTGAGAGATACATTAGTGCGATGCTTGTAGAACCGGGCGCTTTGGATGGACAGACACCGAAACCTTACATATTATCATCTCTCCTGCTTGGGGTCTCACATGCCGCAGACCATTTGGCTAATAAACAATAGGGTATGATTAAACACAGTTTTCTCCCTTACGTGCTCAGCTCTTTCTAGAAGGTCACACTGCCCACATGAGTAGAAATGAGATAATTTTAACAAACATTTACTACAGTGGGTTTTTTTTTCTTAGATTTGTTAAAACCCTCTTATTCAGATTTTCAAGTTTAGAAAATTCTCTTTGCCAAAACTGATCATGATGAAGGTGTGACTCATGCAAATTAAACTCACAAGGAACTAATACACAAAACAGAAGTGTCATTTTATTATGAGAAATGTGACTGAAGGATGGCAATTCCTGGGTCTTCTGGACAGCACCGTTTCTCCATTAGAAAAATAGATGTGGAAGTTTGCAGTGCTCCAGGGAATGGATTCCATGAGTAAATGTACACTTGTACATGTCCATCATTATACATACTATTTAAACAATCTAATTTGTTCATTTTTAAAAATTTCAATCAGTTTAACTGTTCTTACTTGTATATATTTCACAGCTTACGAAAGCTGCAAATTAGCTAAATTTTACATAAGATTGAAGTTATACCTAGGATATCCATCTTATAAATAGGTAAGTCATACATGTGCAGCTTCATTGGGAATACAGGCTCAGAGGCAGCAAAGTCAGACGAAAGCTCTTGATTGTCATGAGAATCACAGCTTCCTGCTCTGCTACAGAAAACAGTACTCATACAGAGACGGGACCCAAGTAACCTGGTTCTTGATTGGTCCTGAACCCAGGCCCCCTGGCTGGAACCTTTTTCTTTGTTACTTCTCATCTATTTTCTTAATATTTGTTTACATTTTTAAAGAATGTAAAAAATGTAAAAAAATCTACTCAAAATGAGATTATTAGTAGTAGATAGCATATAGTTAGGTTATTAGATTATGACTAGCTGTGTACTGACTGATTATTCTTTTGCTAGACATTGAATGATTTGATTATTATTCTTCCCAGAGCATAAGATTATTATGATTAGTGTTATTGTTCAACTCAATTTATTTGATTATATTAATATATTTAATTGGCTGATCAAAACTTAGTTAATACTTTGCTGATTAATAACTTACAAGTGTGTCTTTCCACAGTTTGTATTGAATAATAGCAAATCAACCAATAATTATCATAATTTAAAAATGATTCAAGTATCTAACAATAACCAGGATTCAGGAAGGAACAGAGAAAAGAAGTTATCATCAGACTTCTACAGCAATTTTCCTCTCTTGTATTGATATTTTAAAAGTAGAAATTTCACCTTTGTTTATGAAGAGTCTTTAGAGAATGAGAAAATGATGACTGTTACAGCCATTTGAAAATGTAGCTTCCATTTCACTACTGAGAAAATGTTTCCAGTATCGGTCATTTGAGGATTTAAGCTATATAGTTGATTTTAAAAGAATTTTCTTCCTTTTCCTGTACATTGCTGTAAACAGTTTAAAAATAACCAGTTAAGCAATTAGAAATAAGTTGAGCAGCTTAACTGCACTGTACATACATTTCTCAGAATTTCTAAGAACATTTTAATTCTTCTCTTCCAGGCTCTCCTTCCTAGCTGCTGGTCATTGGTTTTGATTACATAAAGACCTTTTGAAAGGCATTTCAAATTTTGGAAAATGTGAACTAGATCACAACTGATATAGTTAAATAGTTTCCTACATGCCATCATTTATCAAGGATTTTATGCTTCAGAGTAAAATCTATATTCTGACTTGAGTCTTAAAGATTTTAGGAGTAGTTATTATGAATGACTGATTAATGTATAAAAAATACTTAATGTGCAGACAAAATTTCTTGCTCTTTTCCCTAAAATGTGGTAATTAAGCACTCTGCAAATACATGTTACAAAGAGCAGAGTACATTTTTCAAAGTGATTGAGTTTTTTGTATGATTGGACATTAGGAGCGCAAATGAGTTCTCTTTGTTCTTTCCAGCTGCTTCTGTTTGCTTGTTTGCTTGCATAGAGAAGTGTTTTAAAACACCATTGTTATCTTTTAGTCTTAAGGACAGTATACTCATATGTTAAAGCAAAGTAAATTAAAATGGAATGTTTTAAAAGT